AGGGAAAGATATTTAATTAAAATATCTGATTGAAATGTAATTCTTATAAAGCAACTCGGCAATCAATCTTGGGCTTAAGTCTAAGGAATTCACAGGTCAAAATCGACAATCAGTCTTTGAAGCAAATTATTATGGGGCAAGGTGAGCATCTTACTTTTATTGTTGTTAACTGAAAAATGATAAAGCAAGCCCCAGAAAAGTAAATCAGAAAAACAGATAGGCTTTTTGTTTCTTTTTTGTTAGTGGTGTCAAAAATCAATATTACCAAAATCTAAAAAAGAGACTTTTGCTCAGTCTTTGATTTTCTCAATCAGAAATCAGTCAGCCTTGTTTGCAAGACTCTTTTTCCAGCTAGAAGATGCTAGCTCTTTTCCTAGCTGGAAATTGACAGTATCTATAAACCTTCCAGGCCATTTAACTCTCGATGAGTAATGCTATGTAACAAATGGTTTATCATACATGTTTCCATACAATGAATTTCAATAATTAAAATGTAAAATGAATATTTGGAATGCGACTTTGCATAATGTGTGCACACACTGACTCGAAATTGCATCGAACAACTAAAACAGATTTATTGTTCTACAGTGATTTACTTGGTCGTGTCAGATTAGTAATATGGATCTGTTTAAAAACACAATAATTAAGACAAGCAAGATAAATTAATCAACTTACAATACAGTTTGAGCTGCGATCAAACCCGGGAAATAACAGTAGAAAATCTTGGTTCGCAGATCTCTTTAAACTGCTTTTATGCATAAATAAAACCTTAAAATGTAGATGGATTACGTCCAGCAGAACTACTGTAGCTAAAAGTGATAATGATTCAAACATTTTTCAAATAAAAGTTAAATATTTATAAGCACCCAACCACATTTCATAAATCACAAACTATTATTATTTTATTTCTGAAGCTTCCTGGCACAGCATGAGGATCGAGCCACAGAAAGTCAGGAAAGAAAAAGACTATTCCTGTAGGAGCATGAATCAGACACAAAACCGGAGCAAACCCAAGAAACGGGCCTCCAAAGAACATTCCATATGGCTTTCCCAGGATCGCAATCACTCGGCGCAGCTTAAGTCATGACCAACAGGCAAATTTCGGCCACATGCACTCCCAGCCCTTGCCCATGAGCGACGCCAGGCAGGTGTTTCATTATAATGAGGACTAAGAACCCCGTGAAAGAAGAGTGGTCCTACCTGTCAATTATGACTGGATCTGAGGGAGTCTCATTTCGGTTGCCACAGCTTTTCTTGTCACAACAGCGGCTATGGAGCAAAAGCGAAAGGATTTAGTACAACCATTACAATGTAAAATCATCATTGAGGGAGACAGAAGGTTCAAATTGCTGGGTTGCAAATGCTAGCATTACCACAAAGCCATACCTGGCAATCAACGGATCCCTGGACAGAAAATTCTATTTGGGTCACCTATGGGTTAATGGCCAGGCTTAACCTCTCCCTGCTCAAGGAAGGAGGGAGGGAAATACGGCCCTAGGATGGGATCTCCTGTCACGCCTGGTCTGTAGTGTCGGGAGAGAGTGCATTATTACATCTACCCAATGAGAATACCCAAGGTTGTGGGTGGCTCAAACGTTCTTCCTTCAAGATCACTAATTGTGTGGAACACGTCAATAATGAGGTATGAGTGATTTCTCCCCCTCCAGTCATTTTGTATTAAATGGCTTCCTTTTTCTTCTCCTTTCTCTTTTCTGGGCTGAGTTTCCTTAACCATGGGCTTTTCAAAAATCCTAGATCTATAGCTGTGTTTTGAACGATCTTCATGAGAATGAAGGTAAAACACAGTAATTAAGACCAGGAAGAGGCAAGATGAAAGAATGGAGATTCACATGGCTCTGGCCTTGATGGCCTGCACTGGCCACCTCTGAGGTTCCCCAGGCACGCTGTGAACAGTGGATCCGACGGTGAACACCGCCCTGCCAGTGGATGCTCTACCACATCAGAGCGAGAAAGCCTGGGGCAAGGAGAGCGCCGCTTCCCAGGTCCCGCCCTAGTTGTGACCCTAAGGCTGCCAACTTTCAATAAACGGAGACGCTTCTAAAGGGTGAAAACTCTGTGTTTTTGAGAAGTGTCCATGAGTAACAGAAAACTACCCATTGGAGAGTTGTTTGCAAACTATGTGTCCACTGGCCGGTCTACACCCAGGAGAACACTATAAAAGAACATACTGGATCAGTCAAGAAGGGGTGGAGGTTATCCAAGGGTTACACTTCACCATGTATCACAAATCAAATGTGCACTTTTCTCCCTCTCTCTGACACATGTACGTGGACACACATTCACACACATGTGACCTAGAGAATCATACAGCCCAACTTTAAGCTGCTGGAGAGAACCAAACACTGAACTCCGTTTTCAGGACCCAGAAATATACTCCCATATAGGGAGTCCTTCATCAAAACTGGATGTCACTCCCCTTGTGGCAATTGTATCCGAGAAGAGAACCAGCTTCCAAACTTGGTCCCGCTTTGGTCACTCTCATATCTTCAGAAAGCAACAGTAACAATCATATCTCCTTTGTCAAAATCCCATCTAAAAACCACTCCATCTATTTTACAGCCTTCCCTTTTCTTTTTTTTTAAGAATTTATTTAATTTTATTTTTTTAACTTGCCAAAGGGCACATGTGCTCACCAGAGAAAGTGAGAGAGAGAGAGAGGGACAGTGAGAAAGCAACCTACCAGGTCCAGGACTGGAACCTCAGTCAGCCATGTGAGAGTCTAACGCCTAACGCCTTAACCACCATGCCACTTACTGGCCCAGCCTTCCCTTTTCTGATCCAAAGGAAACTATTTCCTCCAGGCCTGAACTCTGCTATACAAGTACTTTGGGAATGGAAAGCCCAAACTATCCCAATACCCAAGAGACAGATAAAGAGACAAAGGAGTGGGAAGTACAAGTAGTTGGAATGCATGCAAAGATGTAATAATTTTAAAAATAACTTCTGCATCTCTGAATGCTGATCCTCTGCACCTGCGTTTCCCAGGCTTGCCAGAATAGCAGCAGGGTGAAGAACGCTGGCTCTGGAATCAGACTGGGTTTCCTGTGCCACCCTGAGCAAGACACTCCACTTCATAGAACTTCAGTTTCCTCATCTGTAAAATGGGGTGGTTGCAGTGCCCACCTCTCAGTGCTGGGGCACAGAGTCACTTCAATGGCAGTATAACCCTAGGCTCCATGATGGACCCTACCAAGAGCCCTTGAAGAGCTTCAATGTGATGACTCCCGGTGCCCACCTCTTCCAGCCTCCTCCTCCTCCACATCTGAGCAAACCTGCCCTGTGCTTTGCAGAAGAGACAGGTCTCCAAGCAGCCCATGGACAGAGCACAAGTCTCCTTTACCCAGGGAGGAAAATTGATGAATGGAAGGCTTATTTTTCCTTCATATTCATTTTCAAAACAGCAGGTGGGCAATGTAATCCCCTGGTGACCGCATCCTCACCGCTCTGGATGTAACGCCTCCGGGGACTCTTCCTACTTGCTCAATGATCATTGTGGGCAAGAATCTAGATTTCAAGCCTACCTGATTCTTTCTCCCCCCCACCACTGCCACCATCCTCATCCTACTCACTGTCATTTGTCACACGGTGCCTGTGGTGGCCTCCCACCTGGTCTTGCTGCCTCCACTCTGACCCGTACAACAGAGTGATCTTTTCAAAATGTCAGTGCAACTGTGCCACTTCACTGCCCAGGACCTTATTTAATAGCTTCCTACTAGACTTGGAATAAACCCATGACATGACACAATGGCAGACCACCTTCCAACTTCCTGCCACTTTCATCCAATTTGCCAACTCCAGTTTCGCAGGCCAACTGCAATCCCTCTGACGTACTGTGCTCAAATCTGATGTCAGGCCTGGGCCCCGGGGGGCTTCTCTGCCTGGCCTCCTCCTTCTCCCCTTCCCTAGTTCACCAATGTCCACTCTGCCTCCTACACATGCCTTCCTCAGACGGGTTTGCTCTGACACCCTACCTTTAATCTAAGTTCCTCTTGGGATTTGTTTTCCTTGGAGGACACTAAACACAATGCAAAGACATTATAACATGTATATGTGCATATTTTTTGTTTCCATCTTTCTCCTTCCTCCCACCCGCTTCCCAATCTAACCCATATGCCTCCTAAAGGAAAGCACTATTGATTTTACTTACCTGGTGAGTAACAGAAAGCCTGGGACAGAATAGAGAAGCTCAAATATTGAATGAATGAATGACTTTATAAATGAATGTTATGTACTGGGAGGAAATACGATGCAGGAGAATAAGCAATAGACAGAAAAGGAAGCCAAGTTGACCCTCTGGGCAGCCATCGCTGATAGAAAAATGGTGCACCCAGCTCCATCCCACACCCAAACCACTTCCCCGTTACAAGTGCCACACTAGGCCTGAAATTTCTCCTTTGACTTAAGTTCATCTTCTTAAAATAAAAATGCCCCTGAGCTCAGTTAGATGAATATAATCATGACTCTATGCTGTTCCCCAGGGACCCAACAAAACAGGCAGACACACAGAACAGAAGTGAAAAGGAAAGAGAGAATAGAAGTAAAACAGGCAGAACGGGGCAAGTAGGTGGCATGGTGGTTATGGTGCCCAGACTCCCACACGGCCAACTGCGGTTAGAGTCCTGGACCAGTGGCTTGAAAATCACTCCAGGCACATGTACATGTGTGCCCAAAACCCTGGGAGGGGAATACAGGAGAAGGGATTGCAGTATGGCCATACCCTGGGGAATGATTTTGCATTTCCCCTCTCTCCATATCTCTCTGTCTCTCTCCAGTGAGCACACATGCTCTATGGCAAAAACCTTCAAAACACAAATAAATAAAAACCCAGCAACAACAAATAAGTAAACAAACCAGGAAAATGATGAATAAGAGACACGAAAAAATGGAGGGACTGGAAGTCACTTAGCATGTACAAAGAAAACTTTATACAAAGTTTGAAAAACAGTCCAATAGGTTTTTCTGTTTCTTGGATCATATCATTGCCTCACATTGTCACCATTCCAAAATGAGACACTCGGGTTTCTGCTCTGCACCTCGAGGCTGCAAAGTATTGGGTTGCTGGAAAAGTCATGATATATTTTTCTATGCAAAAATGTCATGGCTTTTCTGATGACCCAGTAATGTCTACAGTATGATTCCATTACAATACATGCACACACACACATCCATGTATACACACACATGTCAATTTACATGTGGAAGTATAAATATGTGTATACATACACACACACACACACACACATATATATGGAATTCTGAATTCTGGATAGTACTAAAAAGAATGAAGGTGGAGATTTGATGTACTGCCATAAAAAGAAATTTATATGATATAGTAAATTGAGGAAATCAAGTTACAGAATAGTATGTGGAGTACAACCCCTTTTCAGGGGGAGAAAATAAGAGCGTGAAAGAGATCATTGGAGAGAAAAGAGATCATTTCTCTCATAAATAAAATAAACTTTTTTTAAATAGAAAAAGAGATACTACTTTATATGTATTTTTTTAAATCAACCACAAGGGGGAAAAGGATTTCCCCCAGAGTGCCAGGCATCCAGCCACCTGTGTCTTCCTACAGCCAGTGAAGCCAAGGCCCGTCCTTCATGCCCACTGCAGTCTCGCCTGCCCACATGAGTTCTCCCTTCTCAAGCTGAACTGCCCCTAGTTTCTCCACTAAACTCAGAAGGACAATGAAAAGTGGGCACCAATTCCCACTATAGATAAGACAGGCATCACCCAAGAGAAACTGAAATAAGAAAAAATCCCTTCCTACTCAAACCAAACGGGCTCATCCTAAACCACTTCAGTAAACAAAACATGGGAAAAGCTACTGTGCTGACCATCAAAATCACAGTGGTAATTACGTCCTCATTATTGTACGAATGGTAGCCCCTCATCCAGTCAAAGGGTGTATTTTAGGCTCCGACCATGTGTGTCAGCACTGTACCACCACCATCTTGGTTTGTGCTCCCTAAAGCAGACTTTGGAGGGCTTGGAGTGTCCTCATTTGTCACCAGAGCAAAATCGTAAAAGCAAGCAGGCACCCCACTATTCAGAGCCCTCCCCAAGCTGTAACCCAAGTGACAGTAGAGCAATGTGGCCAGTCACAGGAGCAGGAAGCCGGCACCTGGTGTGTACGTCCACCGTGGACTCAAAATAGCAGCCCTGTCCTCAGCAGGATCGCAGGATCGTGTATTTCCCAAACAGTTCTGCACACCCAGGGAAAAAGCAAACTTCAGAGGTTCTTCCTT